TTACTCATGAAAATTTCATGAGACATGAAAGCAGTTAGCCATCATCTTCAATCATGTTTCTTGCTGGCAGATTCCGGGGAGAGAGAACAGGCACTCCTCTGATTTTAGGAAACCCAGGTAGAGTGAGTGCTTTATACTAACGCTATTAACACTCAGACACGCCTGTACTAAGGAAACCGACAAAGGGAAACCAGCTTTCATTTACTGAAAATTGTGTTCCATCGTGCCTATTTCTGAGTTTTAGGTATACTTAATTCCTAAGTGCTTCTTTTTAGGACAATGAGATAGAGAGCTCTTTTCCAAATCAATCTTAGCAAGACCAACCAGAGGCAGAAAACTGTCACATGTTTGTACCATACGTCCACAGACACACGTAAATACACAGACACACACAGAAACCCTGTACTTGAGCAAGCATGTCTAACTCGGGGGCCACTCTGGGCTTCTTGTCAGAGTCTGACGTGCCTGTGCAGCTCCATGAGGACATGTCTCGGGAAGCAGGTGCCACAGGCTCCCTGGTTTAGGAAGGACAGCCGACTCCACGCTGGCAGCTGGCACACGGGAGGTCACCTGCCCCAGCGGCTGAGGGCAGCCTCCGCTGATGTCTGAGGCGAGGGCTTCGAGCGTTTGTGTTGATCTTGGGAGGCACCCGAAGGAGGCGGCGGGCAGATTTGGGGCAAGAGAGGCTTTTCGGCAGTTTGATTTCGAGCCCCCGCTTTGTCCCTCCGGCTCAGGCGCTGCCTTCGTTGTGCCCGGGGTGTCTGCGCTTCAGAGCTGTGGTGAGATACACGTCTCTGAGGGCAGAGCAAGGGTGCAGGTTTGAGGTATATTTGTCCATCCCCAGAAGTCTAGGGTCATGGTTTAAAACTGTTCTTGTTGGCTTAAGTGCAGACCAGCTGTCCTCCCGGCTCCGTGGTGTTGACAGTATCGGCAGAGGCGAGGGGGTCTGAGGGGATTTGGGGTGTTCTCAGTTATGCTGCTGGAACCGGACAATCAAGGGGCCTGGGCGGCCTGTCACGGCCTGAGCCAATTCAGCAGAGCCGGCTGGAGTCGCATGAGCATTGATTCCAGTCCCGCAGGTGTGGGGGAGCAGCAGGTCACCCACCAAAACCTGCTCTGCCCCCGCCCTGTGCCGCTGCTTGTAGTGAGTAGGGTAAAGGTCACATGGAAAGTAGGCAAAAGCTACACCAACGGGCAGTGCGCAGGTGAGCAGGCTGGAGGTGTGCAAAGGCCTGTGGGTACACAAAAGGCTGGAGGCTCTGGTTTCATCAACAAGGTTGCTAATGTTTCCATGGTGACAGGCAGCTCCTGCATGGGGAGGGCGTCCCCATTTCCAGGTGAGCGCCCAGGTCCCACGTGCACCTCCCAGCCAGGCTGGACTGCGCCTTTTTCCATCAGAACAAGCAATCATGGCTATCAGAGCGTGGTGAACACTTCTTACAGTTGCCGCTGGTTCCCAGCCTTCTATTTCTGCCCCTGTCGCCTCTGCACTCTGAAGATTCCCGCTGTCAATCAAGAACTGTTGCTTCTCACTCCTTTTTGTCCCTATTCCTCAAGCTGTCCTCAAAGAATTGAGAGCCCTCTCCAAGATGGTGCTTTGAGGGACTAGCTTGCCCGATGGCCCTGTTTGGAATTTGCCGCTGTAGGCAGCGGGAGAGAGTTTTCTGCTAAGGTGGAGGGAGAAAGACGTCTCTGGTCTAGAACCTCGGGTTCAGGGCAGGGCGCCGCTGGAAAGTCTGCATCAAGCGTTCCCCAGAGGCCTCCGGTGCTGTCCTTTCCGAGGCTCATTTCCACTCCAGACCAGTTCGCCATGGGGGGCAACCTCTTCTCCCGTTTCCTTCAGCCTGAGTGTCAGCGCTTCCTGGTCATTGGCAGGACCTGGGAGGCTCCGGGCCATCTGTCTGCTCGGTGAGGGTGTCCCCAGGGCCTCGGCCTCCTCTCATAATTACAGATGATCACGGAGGGAATGCCGCCCTGAGGGAGGCCCCCCAGTGAGGGGCTGTGCATGGCCTTTCATTTCTAACCGCCTCTTTAAATGGGATGGGACTTTCCCACAGTGAAGCTAAAAGGTTTGCCATTTAAAAGCTCTGCTGCTGCCCGGAGCACAGGAGCTGGCTGGTGGGGGTCTGAGTCCATCTGCAAAGGACACTGCCTCGGAAGGCGGGAGCTGGCCGGGCCTCAGAGTGGCCTCGCTCTCCATCCGGGCTTCTGGACCCACGTCCTGCTCTCAGCGCCCGTGAGCACCTGTCTGCCCTGGGCCATGGCGTCGGGCTGGGGTGCCTCTCACCTCACAGCGGAGGGGTGAGGACAGGGGGGGCGCAGGCTGGGGATGGCGGTGGAACCCAGGCTCCCCAGGGGACGGAGAGAAAAGCGCTGCCCAGATCCACGCTCGGGAGGAGATGGTGGTACAGTGAGTCCAAGGGGCTCCTCTCCCCGCTTCCCAGCGTCCCATCTCCGTCCGCCCACCATGGAGAAGTCCGGCCGTGTCCTCAGCAAGGCCCCGACCAAGGCTGGCGGCTGAGGATTCTGCTTCCTGTGAAAACTTAGTCATTTTGGAGCCCACGTGGTCTGCCGGCCCAGGCTGCTGCTAGGCTGCATGGCTATGTGCTGAGAGAGAGAGAAGGGGGGTGGTGGTGGTGGGGGGAGATATTCTTTGTTCCCTGGGGTCTTAGCCAGGAGCTCTCTCAAAATGACCAGTCACGCCCAAGCTTTCGGAAGCTTCTCCCTGTCCGACCAGCGATTTCTCCCCAGTGAGGCTGATGGTCTCTGTGGGAGGCACCGCCCTGCGCCTTTCACCTCCATGGACCATTGCGCTGCCCTTGCTGTGTCCCCTCCCCGTGACCTGCGGGGTCCTGTGGCTCCCGGGAGGAGTGTGGCGCTCCAGGCCGTGTCCCCAGCGGCCGCCCGCATGCCTGGCTCCCTCGCTCTGTCACTAAGGGTTCGGAGCTGCCGGAGCAGAGGTGCCAGGGCTGAGGTCTGCCGAGGGGGCAGGGCCGGACTCCCACGGGGGAGGTGATGTTGGATGTGGATTTAGTTCTGAGTCTGATTCTTGAAGTCATTCCCCAGGGCTACCTGCCTTGGAATTCGCTTCACCTTGGTCTTTCCACAGGAGCCAGTAAGACAATTGTCTAGAATGAGAGCTCTCTCAAAAAATGTTTGGTTTTTTTTAATATAGTGAATCCAAAGGGTCCCTGACTGACCACTGATGAGTAGGGTCTCATATTGACCCTCAGTAAGGGCTGACACTCTGGAGGCAGAGAGAGGGCCCAATAGTCCAGCTCACCTGCCACCTGGACTAGGAAGGGGACCAGGAGGTTTCCAATCGTCTGTGGGCGTGACACAGAACTGTCAGATGACAGCCTGTGGCAACACGTGACAGGCTGTGGCAACACATGACAGCCTGTGACAACACATGACAACATGTGGCAGCCTGTGACACCCGGAGGTCCTCCCCAGTGGTTTTAGTCCCGCAGACTTAGGGAAGAAACCCAGACCAACCCGAACCACCGTGGGGATGAGGAACTAAGTGTTGGGGCCTGAGGCTTCCCAGGGACCATGCCAGGCCTCACCTCGCTGGGACACAGCCGGCTGTCGCCCTGGCCTGGACGTTTTCCCTACAGATAACGGGACAGTGAGCCACCAATAGCCAACGTTCCGTGCCCGATGGTGAAATGGCCGGGCTGTTCAAGGACCAGAACAGAGCGGGGTGGAGGCTGCTGGGGGGCGGGAAGGACGGTGGCTCTCTCCCTCCACCAGGCTGGTCATGGCAGGGACCTGAGCCACCTGTCCAGGCCAGGGAGACAGGACCATGCTAGCCTCGTGCGTGCGCAGAATCACTCTCACTCTGTTCTCCGTGCTGACGTTTAGGTGCAGAGCGACATGGAGGTGGCCACAGGGGTGTGTGTGTGTGTGATGTGCTGTTAGTGTCTTCCCCTGGGTGTTTCCAAACCAGAATCCACAGCAGCTGCCCTGTAGGGTCCTGGATAAGCCTCCCCGAGCCCTGAGGTGGATGAGTGGCTTCTTTTAGGAAAATCCAAGGTTCTTTTTATTTGTGCTTTTGTTTATTTACTTATGTATTTATTTGTTTTTAATATTTTTATTGATTTTAGAGGGGAAGGGAGAGGGAGAGAGAGAGAGAAACATCAATGATGAGAATGAATCATTGATCGGCTGCCCCCTGCATGCCCCCCACTGGGGATCGAGCCCACAACCCAGGGCTGTGCCCAGACCGGGAATTAAACCGTGACCTCCTGGTTCATAGGTGGACACTGAACCCCTGAGCCACTCTGGTGGGCTATTTGTACTTTTTAACGGCATCAGAACGGACATCCCACTCTTAGCCCTGAGTGAGGGGGTAGCTCTCTCCCTCCGATCCCGTGGTTGTGGGCCCGATGGGAAGTTTGCGGGGAGGTTTCCAGGTCCCCTGGCCGCTGGAGTTCAGAGGGGAAGGATTGGCACCAGGTTGCCAGGGAGAAGGGACGGCCGCTCCTCCACCAGCCTGGCTGATGCAGCTGTGAACCAGGGCACTGGGCACAGGCGCCGAGCTCTGGTTGGCCCCTTCCTAACACAGTCCCCTGGCGTCCGTGTCGCCTTATCTGTCTCCTGACGCGGGCGATGTTGGACGGAGAGGAGAAAGTCCTCCCACGGGAGACAGGATGCAGCAGGTGCCCCGACGCCCCCGGCCCTGGCTGCTCTCTCCCCATTTCTCCCAGTTTTCAGGCGGAGCACAGGCCCCTGCATCTCGGAATCCATCAGCTGGTGACGATGACCGAGGGGTGTTTGTTAGGCCGATCATGGCTGCACTGAACTCATTGGGTACCGAACCCACCAGCAGAGCTGGCCAGAGAGCACGGGCGGTCCGGGCGGCGGTAACCGGTGAAACGGAGGCCCCAGCGAGCGCGGGGTGGTTTCCCCGTGGGGACAGTCACTGGCAGACGGGGTCTCTCTCCGCAGACGTGTCCTCTGCCCGGCTCTCGGTAACCGCCCTTTGTCGTTCACAGACCGCAGAATGGCTCCATGATCCTCTACAACAGGAAGAAGGTGAAGTACCGGAAGGACGGCTACTGCTGGAAGAAGAGGAAAGATGGGAAGACGACCCGCGAGGACCACATGAAGCTCAAGGTCCAGGGCGTGGAGGTAAAGAGCGAGGGCCCCCCGGCCTCGGGCTCCCGTCGGGCGCGGAGGGCGGCCTGGCCCAGGCCGCGAGGCGGGCGCCTCTGTGGAGAGCACTTTTGTTCGTTCCTTTCCTCCTCCCTTCTTCCCCTGCAGTCCCCCGTCCACGTTTCCCATGCAGCCGGGTTTAGCTAGAGCGCTCCTGTGTCCCGGAGCCACTGGTGTGCGGGTGGGAGTGGCGAGGTGTGCGGCGTGGAGAGTGGGGCTGAGGGTGGAGGCGCCTTGGGGTGCACTGAATGTGGGGGGGCTTCACTCCCTCCTCTACTGACACGCCCTCTGCTTCTCTCTGGGCGCCTCAGGGAGCACCCTGTGTTACAGATCACTCCGGGGGAGGGGGACCCTAAGGTGCAGGGGGTTGGGGCAGGGCTAGGGGGTGCATTGGGGGGATGAGCCCTGCAGACAGCATCGGGGTCTCCTGCAGACTTCCTCTGGATTCTGGGGGAGATGGGCTGCCTGGTTTCCTTGCTGTTGTTCTTGCCCACTTGTGCTCACCTGGGCAGCCATGGGCACTTTCTGGCTCCTCTTGCCCGGTGTGAGGGCCGAGCCAGGGGCACGGCCAAGAGGAGAGGACATGAACCGGACGCACCCGTGGCCGGCTCGGCAGCGAGCGCCTCCTCTCTGTGCCTGCGGGTCCTGGGGAGGGTCTTCCCGGGGAGGCGCAGGGGCCGTCCGGGCCAGGAGCTGAGGAGCTGCCTGTGCCCACCTGGTGTGTTCAAAGTGGTCAGGGAGGGCCCTGTGCCCGCTGCCTGCGGGGTCCACTGGCATGTGGGGTTGCCAGTGTGTGGGGTCCGCTGGGCGCCAGGATTGACCGGCAGGACCGTCGGCCCTGTGAGCTCAGCAGCCCCTCCATGCTGACGCTCTTGGTGACTCCTGTGTCCTTACGCCTTTTCTATGTGAATCGTGTCCGTTTCGGGATGTTAAAAGGAGCATCCGCTGGCTTTTATTATCTGACCCCGCAGAGAGAGAGGACTTGGTGTTTGTAAACACTGAAAACAATGCTTATGACGATGGTGAAAAAGGCTCTGAGATGAGGAATGCAGGCCTGGACCGGTCAGGGACACGCCTGGCCACTGGATACACAGCTTAGCCTTTGCTGCCCGCATCCCCCCGGTGAGCGATAGGGAGAGGAGAGGCTGGGGTGCCGGGTCCCAGGGAATTCACACCGAACCCCGGGCAGATGCCCCTGCCGCAGGTCCTGGTGGTTTCGCCCTCGGTGGCACTAGCACAGGCGCCCTGGTGGCAGGTGACAGGGGGGCTGTTCCTTGAGAGGCTGAGGGAACAGAGCCCGCGTTCACTCCCTCCCTCGGCTGGCCGTTAGGGTCTCACTGATGGCAGCAGGATGGTGATGCTCAGGCCACGGTTGCGTTCGGAGTGATGGTGGCCCCCTCACCGGAGGTCTAACGTGTGCACACATGTGGCATGTGGACCCTCAGGACACGGAGGAAGGACGCGCAGGGCTGCAAGGGGTTTCCGGACTCCCGGTGCGGTGTGAGCGGGCGGGAGGACGGCATGCGAGCGTCCCCCCCACCGGAGTCGCACTGTGCGTGGACTTGAGCTTTCTGTCCCCGGAGGAGGGGCTTCCTGGTTGGGACCTAGGGCTGGCGGGGCCTGGCGGGGCCTGGCAGCCATGATCTTCGGCCACCCGAGCTGGCCTCCTGGGTTCAAGGGCACGATAAAGACACGAGGAGGAACCGTTCATCGCCGCCCTCGCTCGGAGCCTCCCGCAGGCCAGGCGGGGGCCTGCCCGTGCTGCCCGGCACTCAGCTCCTGTGCGCGGGGGGGCTGGCCAGGGCCCCCGCTCGAAGGCGCATCGATCTCCTGGGGCCGCTCAAGAGGCCGCTCTGCAGCCCCTTAGGCCTGTGATGCGTTGCCTTGTCCGTGAGCCAGGCCGGCACGATGAGTTCCCGGATGACAGGCTGGCGGGAGGAGAAGGGTGGGTGTGCTGGCGACGTCTCCTGAGGGGATCGCAGCCTGGAGACGGCTCTGTGCTGCCTGGGGAGGGGGGGGCAGGTTCCCCGGGAGCAGAGGGCGCCTCCGGGGTCCGCTGCCTCCTGGGGCCACTCCTGGGCCGGGGAGCGAAGGTGCTGCTGCTCCTGGCCCAGCGGGAGGAGGACGTTCGCGCTCTCGGTGCGTTTCTCCGGGCCCAGACGCGTGCGGCTTCCTGGCGCCTCTCCCCGGAGGGCGAGTGTCACTCAGGCCCGGCCAGCTCCGGGCCACCCGCCTCCCGGCTGCTCCGCGGCAGGTCCCCGCTGTGGAGCGGAGCCAGGCGCGGCCTCAGCCAGCAGTTCTCCCCGGTGCGCCGTCTCCTTCACCCTCGGGCAGCCCAGCCGCCTGGCTCAGTGGATGGAGCACCGGCCTGAGGACTGAAGGGTCCCGGGTTTGATTCCCGATCCAGAGCCTGTATCTGGGTTGCAGGCTCGACCCCTGACATCCTGGCCACAGTCTGGGTGCGGGTGGGAGGTAACCAATCGATGTGCCTCTCACATTGATGTTTCTCTCTCTCCCTCCCTCCCTTCCACTCTCTCTGAAATTCAGTGGAAAAATATCCTTGGATAAGGGTTAACAAAAAACAAAAATCATGCAAAGCGCTTGTTATACCCATTTCACGGAGGTGGAGACTGAGCCCCAGAGAGGGGTTTTCTTGCCCCACATCCCACCACAGAGCTGCATGGCACCGGGACTGAGCCGAGGCGCCTGGCACTCACTCAGGCGCCTATGCTGGCCAGCCATCAGCTGCCCCTGGACCTCACTCAGCGGGACAGTGGTCCTTCCAGACCAGTCAGCACCGCCCTCATCTGTGAGCGGCTGTCCGCAGGTGTGACGGGTGCAGGGACGTCCCCTCCCCATGACTGCGTGGGGACAAAGTGCCCAGTGGGCGGCTCTGACGCAGGTGATGAGGCCTGAGAGGGGGAAGCACAGGCCCGGGCGGGGCACCAGGAGGGGTACCGGGCCGACGTGGCCTTCGGAAGTGGCATGACCATAGGGAACGAGGCGTGTTTGGGGGCGGGCAGTAACGGGCCGGGTGGGAAGAAGCGTGGGCACTGACCGAGGCTGCGGTACAGCCACTGACGTGATTTAAAGTGGCAGGTGCCTGCCTGGCACCGTGCCAGTCCCTCTCCAGCCCCATCAGACAGGCGTCCGCCTCCGGGTCACGGCCAGCCCGCCCACAGCTGCCTTCCGAGCCACGAGGCGGTCGTGGCCAAGGCCGTGGCTCCTTGTGGTTGAGCTGACAGCCTTCCCCGCCGGGCGGCTCTGCGGCGGCCAGAACCCCGGCCTGGCCATCTGCGGGCGGAAGTGCCGGCCACCCTCTCCGACCTCGTCCTCAGCCGAGAAGAGCTTCGTTTTGCTGAGCTGACGCCTGCGGGCTCCGCGCCCATGGCGAGCGGCAGAAGCGAGGGCACATTTGGAGTCAGCCTCGTTAGGGCTGATGCTCTGTCTTTGGACACTCGGGCCACACATTACAAAGGAGAAACGCACCTCCTTTATAAAGGAGGGGGATGAGATGGTGGTTACGGCGTCAGGAATTAACAGGGCGTGAAATAGCCGGCAGCCTCGTGGCGATACCGGCCCCCTGCAGCTCTGCCGGCGGCCACGAGATAAACAGGCACCGTGCGTGCAGCTGTTGGGAAGATATGTAAAGTATCTGATGGGAGAATATTTAAAGTACCCAGCCACACGCACCCGCCACATGGCACCAGCCACGCAGTTCCAGCCACACGCACCCGCCACACACACTGGCCACATGCACCCGCCATACACACCCACCACAGCCCCCAGCCACATGTCCCCGTGGTGCCCACATCAAGGTGGGAAAGAGCAGTGAGCAGGTGAGGAGGAAGGTGGCAGGTGGAAGAGCCGAGCTGGAGGCTCACGAGGCCAGGTGAGTGCAGGCCGCACGGGTGTGTGTGTGTGTGTGAGGGAGGAAGAGGGCACAGCTTCGAGCTGGAATACAGACAGAAGCAGAAGCTGGCGTTTCCGTGAACATTGTCGCCTCACGCGGCAGGGGCTTGCGGTTCAGAATACGTGTGTGTCCCCGAGGACAGGCCTGGGGAGGCCGCCATGGGAACTCGCTCTGAGCGGCGACGGGCTGAGCCTTCACCGCACCCTGTCCTCCGAGGCCGCCCGCCCCGAGGCTGGTCCTGGCAGGTGTGTGTCCCGCCGGCTACACATCTGGGACCAGGTCTTGCCCCCTCGTCCCGCCTGGTGTCCAGCCTGGGCACCCAGTGAGGGGTCCTGTGGCGGCGCCGGGGGAGGGGCCAGGCCTGGGGTGCTCCCCGGAGGAACCCCCGGGCCTCCCCTGACTTGGTCTCCTGCGTTTCTCGTGCCGCATTCTGCTGGCACGCTGCCACATTAGACTCATTTCCCGTTACCCGGATGTGCTTGGGAAGAACCCGTTCAGGAACCCACACCCATGGCTCTGTGACTCCTAACTGCCGGCTCCCCCGGTGCCACGTCCCCGCCACTTCGTGTAATTACAGTGTTAATCAGTAGTGTCCGCAGTGCATGCTGCGGCAGCTCAGCAGCCTCTGTGTTCTGTCCACGCCCTGAGCCCACGGAGGCCGGGGCGGGGGACCCTCCTCCTGCTCAAGGTCCCCCTTCTCTGACCACCGCCACGGGCAACGGAGCAGTGATGCGCCGTTTGGTGAGCACCCTGAATACTGGCCTGTGTCCTCACTCTCCCTGCAGTGACCGCCCATTAGCCCTTAAGGTCAGGAATGGGAATCTCAGGGTGTCCCCCACAGCGGGACCCCGGACCCCCGCTGCTAGAACTCGCCCTGCCTCTCCCTGTCTGGGCCCCCACGGGCAGCAGACTCCAAGTTACCTGTCGCCAGGATGCAACCTTGATTCTGTGGCATCACAGCCCCATGGGCAGCTGGGCTGCCTTTAAAACGTGGTCTGTGCTCCACCCCGCTCGATGAGTGACCAGATTCGGCTGTCTGCATTGGTAAAGAGTGTCTCTGGCC